AACCTTGGGAAATCTACGAATTGTCTATGCGACGATCTTTACAGAAGACGGTAAAAAAAAATCAAAATCCGGTTAGCCGTGGAATCTGTTAAATTCGAGTCAAGCGCAGGCATCCTAAACGACGACTACTCCTTTTGGGCTTAGCAACTGAACTTCATCTGATATTGCAATGGATCAAACTGGTATATGCGCGGCTTATTGGCCTACCCGATTAACGTAACCTAACCTGTGTATATTTCAGCTCCGCTATACTTTAAAAATCACTGATTTTGGGAACATCTTCAGATTAACTTCTGGAAGCCCCATAGTGTTAATTATGACGATGTCAATCGATACAATCTCAGCCAAGAGTCACGGTTTCGCCACCGAAGTATGATCTCCTATATTCCCCCAGCAGTTTTTGTCGCTTAAAATGGAACCGAAAGTGGCAAAAAATTAATGATTGAATAGAATAAACATTGAACTCCAAATCCAGACAAACAGTAGCAACATCCACGGGGCACTGATTTCAGTATCATCATGTAAGGCAAGTGCATAATTTAAGGTTGTCTAAATCACTGAGTTTACGCTTATTTAGATCAGTTATATACACGTAATCCGTTGATTATCACTACTCTTGGGATCTTTCAAACTTCAGACTTTTTGTATCAAATTAAGAATGCAGCATTCACACGGCGATTGTTGGCTGGGTGTATTAAATTACATACGTATATGCTTGTATATAAGTAAGTACATACTATAGATGACTAGCTAGCTATATGCACTTATAGCTTTAGGTGCAGACCTTTTTTTACTATTTTATTCGCCTTGGCAACTTTAACTTACATGTTTGTTGTTATTCACTCATCTGGCTTATATAGCACATATATGTTGTTAATGTAATATTTTTTATGCTACATAGTTTGTTAGTATGTATTAACTTCGCCCAGGTTTAGTTGCAAGGAAGATTGCACATATTCCAGTTTAACTAAGCACTGTTATTGGAGATGAAGTTTAGCTTTCATTAAAATTATATTTAAGTTTTTTAAAAAAATATACCCATCAATACACCGTAACGAAAATTTTCGAAATTTCATGCACTGGCTACCGTTGAAATGCTTCTGCTTACATTAAAATAAGTAAACCCGTCATGTCCTCGCATACAAGTATGTATGTATGTATATCAAGTACATGCATATGCACGTGTACGTGAAAAGGTTCGAGCTTCAAATTGACGCTTACTGAGTTGTCTAATATCAGGCTGCGCTTGCCTTCCAAACTTTGAATCTCATTTTGATGCTCTCCAATAAATGGAGTATCATATTTTTATAAGTGGATTCACTATATAAATCCTAACGGTATTTTGTCCTGATCTGCAGAGAAACACTCGCTTGGCCGAAGTGTAAACAGAAGTGAGGAAGGCCTAAGGTCTATCGTACCCGAACATTTTTTACACACACAATTTGCGCAGTCCAAAAACGGGAAAACATCGGCAAAACTTAGTATTAATTAATATTTCTTAGGAATCCAACATACATCATTTGACAAAACCGTGAAGAAATGTCAATCACTGACATGTCCACTTTCATTAAAATAGCACACATTTTGACCAACTTAAACGGTTTAACACCGTAGAAAGTCTTAAGCCACTATACCATGGAGTAGGTCTAGACTGATTGCATTAATTTTTTAAGTGATTTAAGTATACTAGAGAACGTTTTTCCATTTGACCATTAATGCGATTTTATTCATGTTTGGCATTACGGAATATTATTACCAGAAAAATATGCTTTGTTATAAGTTTGAGAAACCATACCTCATTTTTGACAAAAGAGTACCGACTGTATTCAGGTAAGGGCGTTCCTAGCTAACGAACGAGGGGCTGGTCAGTTGTCTCCGAGCACTTGGAGAGTCAAACCAACAAACATTTTCGCCAGACGTGCTTCTGTGAGTGGTGCAAGCCGAAAATGCAGCGATCGTGAGAGCAGAGGTACCCCATTAAATGCTGTGTGAAACTTGGTAAATCTCACGGTCAGCAGTAGGGTGTTTCACTAGGCCTCTTTGAAGGACCGGGAAAACATCGCTGATTAAGACCGTGCTGGGAGACCTGCTAAGTAATCATTTAATTACCCAGATACTAAATTTATCAAAATCTGTGGTTCAAGACATTGTGACGGAGCACATGAACATGCGCAAAGTGTGCGCGAAGATGGTCCCAAAAGTTCTCACTGACGACCAATGCACAAGGCGTCTCTTGTGAACAGTTACCTATAAAAGGCCGGCATCTCAACGCTTCCACAGCCGTCCTCCGTCCCAGATATGGCTTCGCGAACTTTTTTGTTGTGTTCTTATCGGGAGAGACCGTTTAAAGGCAATTATTTTGAGACGACAGATTGGATCCAATCCGCATGCACCACGCCGCTTAAGGCTATTCCGGAGAATATTTTCCGTGACGCCATAATTTTTTAAATCCTATTACTTTCCGGACAATTCATGCATAATGGACATAAAAATAGGATGCTATTTCTGATAGAATTTTCGGTTCCTCTACAGGAAAACATGATTCTCCAGGGCAAAAAGGCAGTCAAAACCAAGCCACAACGTCGGAGACGTAGACTCTTTAAGCGTTCTAAAACTGAACTCTTCATTAATGGAAATTATCAATATAATCGGGCTGAAGTGACTTCATTCTAAGCGTTCAGTTCGCCTGGTAGCAATATGACAATAATTTATGTTCAATTACTTGAAGATATCTCGTCAAACGAAAAAATTTTCCATACAAACAATTGATTCCAAAATCGCATACTGATCATTTATATACATATGTATATATTTTATAAGTTTTCTTCTGGACGTTAAAAACTTCGAGGCAATCTTAATATACTGAGTTTAGATTAGAAAAATAATTAACGAAGTCATTGGATATTTTTAGAAACTTAACAATAAGGAAGTCAATGGCTTACACCCGGAGTAAAATATTGCAAAACTAGTTTAGTTTCACAACTTGACATTGTAATACATTTTTGTGCAGAAAGCCTTACATATCTGAAGACAGAAGCCCGCTAACAGTTATACGAATCTTGCATCAAGCCCTCTCAAAAATTCTTTCAACTTTATGCATTATTAAAACTCTTTACGACTTTCTTTCATTCAATTTGAACATTTAAATCCGATTAAAATGATCTACAAAACTACGTATATGTATGTACATACATATGTATATTCATAGCTATGCATAAGCACAAGTAAGTATTTATATTTCCTCTGAGTTTCTGTATAATTTATAAACTATAAATCATTTATATTTATCTTGGGAATTCCCAGAGAAATCGCATTCCAATATATAAAAAGATTATCAGTAAAGCTTCCCGCCAAGAACATAAGTACATAGAGTACCAATAAGAACAGCGTGGTGTGAAATGAAATAAAAAACTCACAGTTGGTCAAAAAAGTTCTGTTTTTTTTTTTTTTTTGTTTTGTTAAGCAAATAATTTAAGCCTTTTATGATTTTAACAAAATGTCGGTCATAGGTAGTATGAGGGTTGAGACTAATATTCTAGCGGAAAAATTGCAAAAAATGATCGTCCAAAATGGTATACTATAGTATAATAGTATATTTGTTCATTTATTTCTTGGTATAAATAAAAAAAAAATAATGAGTTAAAGTTTGATTAGAAATACGAAAATACTTTTTCGACTACTCAATATATATATTTATATGTTATTTAATCGCACATACCCCCTGATAAGCACAGTGACCCTTAAATATGTATTTACATAACGGCATTCTATTATAAATATAACGAAATAAATTCTATGAGAGCTTATAATATATTTCTTTTTAATTTAGCGAGATATCTTCACGAAATTGAAATTAGAAGCTTCAAACAATCGATTTTTTTTTGTTTTTTGCTTAAATCTCTTTAGAAATTAACTAAGAATATGTCTCTAAAGTTATAGATTGGAAATCGTAATATTTTCGAAAATAGAAGGGAAATGGTGATCGAGCGTCTAGCAAATTATTATATGAGCGCTTGGGCAGAAAGCGAAAACTTTGACGCCCGATGTCTTTTTTTTTATTCATTTTTACAATTTTTCTAATTGGCGGGCAGAATAGAAAAAAAACTAAACGTTATATGGAATTGGGGCAAAATTTATTATCGTTGGCATTAAATTATCTTCTATTTAAACTAGCAAGTCAAGTTTGAATATATTTTTAAACAACATAAAGTAAATTTTTTTTGGTCAAAAACCACCTTTTTTCATAAAAAAAAAAAATTTTACACTTTTTTTTTGGAATAGAAATAGCGACCTGCATGCTGCCAGCCGTCCGACAAATGCATATGCGGAATACATCGCCCAATTGCTTCCCAAAGGCAGAATATCAAAGTTTTCGTATCAAAAAAAAATCGTGAATGATGTTTTGTAATACAACTATAAACCCTGGAAATTTCGCTTTAATCAATTATTTCTTTCCCTCACAAAAAATCGTCAAAAAAGTCGATTTTTTTAAGCATCTACAGCAGGCTAGCCCTTATATTTCCTGTTTTATTATTTCATAATTTATGTACAAGTATAAACAATTAGTTAGCTTGAACTAGACACAATACACTCAAATTGAATAAGATTACTTAACTCTTTGCCATCCCAACTAAACTAAGGCATCTCTATAATAAAAAGGTAAGCCCTAAAGACGGCCTAAATACTATACATTTCATGATATATACCATGTTTTTAATGAGATTGCTGAATTTCGGTGATAACATAAACTCACAAATATTTCATACTTATTTTGCATATCAGAAACTAAATTTATGTATTTATGTTTTTTTTTTTTTAATATATTCTTATGAGTTAAAGCTCTTTATGATATTATGTGTAACCACTCTCCACAAATATTCGCTCCACACACACACAATCGCGATGAAAAGTTATTTACGAATTCCTCTCGAACCGATAACGAGCCGCCTGTAAAGCTTTTGTGGTGCCTTTGGTGCAATCAGTACTCCACGAACCGACGGACTAAGAAGTATTTCGCAGCGAAAGAAATAATCAAATCGCAAAGAATTTATGAATTAAATGCAAAAAGTATTGATTACATCTCCGAAAATGTCCAGCTTTCAAATATGCTTGCTGCTGATCGCCACGATATGTGTCAGTTGGAATAGTGGTGCGTGTAGCGGTAAAAACAGTGCTGCGATCAGATTTGGTGTTCGATAGATCAATTGTTACTTTTATTGATAAATTATTTGATTTTTCATTTGGACAGCGAGTGCTGGCAAAGTGTGCAGTGCAGAGAGAGATGAGTGGAGGTGTAAGTCCGGCGGCTGTATTGCAGCAGAAAATCTATGCGATGGCATCCGCCATTGTCTCGATGGTTCCGATGAGACGAAAGCATCTTGCAAATCGATGCAATGCTCATTTGCTTCATTTCGTTGTGATTATGGTGCATGCATATCACTCGAATTGCTGTGTGATGGTGTGCACGATTGTGACGATTCATCGGATGAGGACAGTGAGACGTGTCGCAAACGACGCAATGATTTACCGAATGATGAGATAGATGAGGAGACAAAACGAAAGAATTGTATTGGGTAATTTTTTTTATCCTCTTTATCCTATTCACTCGTTCATATATCGCAGTAGTAGGCTTATCTTATATATGTATGTATGTGAAATACAATCACACGCTTGAAATTCACCGCACATCGTAGCTGCAGAAATAAGTTTCCCACCGTTCGAGTTTTTAAATTTTTATACTTTGTATATTTTTATTTTTAAGTTGGTTGCATAATATTCGAGGAATTTAATTGAATTATGAACGATTTACAACATATCATTTTCAAAACCGTTAAGACATTTGATTTTGCAATAGCATATTTTCCGATTTTTTTCTTTTTTTTTTTTCTCTTTCAAAGGTTCTAAACAAAGAAAAAAATTAAGAAAGATACTATAGAATTCCTTTTAAAAACAAAAATTTACAAACAGGGCCTTAGTTTGTATGGCAGCCATATGCTACAGCGACCCAATATACCGTTACCTTGGTCACTAATTCATGTCAAATATCGTGAAGGTATTATATGAAATGAAAAGTTTGTCCGTACAAGCACGTGAATTCGTTCATTCAGGATAAATGGACGCCTCCAAAATTGCAGATCAATAAATTAACAACCGAGAGACTAGATACGGGCAGACGGACATGGCTAAATCGACTGAACAAGGCATGCTGATTATTTATATATTATATATATATATTTTTATAGAGTTAGTGGTAAGGAAATTGTTCGGTCATCATCAGAAATTGTGAAAAACCTTGGAAAAGGTATTATCTACCTCATAAACATTAATTTTTATACTCTCGCAACAAAGTTGCTAAAGAGAGTATTATAGTTTTGTTCACATAACGGTTGTTTGGAAGTGCTAAAACTAAAAGAGTCAGATATAGATGACGAGTAGAGTTGAAATCCGGATGTCTGTCTGTCCGTCCATCCGTGCAAGCTGTAACTTGAGTAAAAATTGAGATATCATGATGAAACTTGGTACAGGAATTTCTTGGCTCCATAAGAAGGTTAAGTTCGAAGATGGGCAAAATCGGCCCACTGCCACGCCCACAAAATGGCGGAAACCGAAAACCTATAAAGTGTCATAACTAAGCCATAAATAAAGATATTAAAATGAAATTTGGCACAAAGGATCGCATTAGGGAGGGGCATATTTGGAGGTAATTTTTTTTGGAAACGTGGGCGTGGCCCCGCCCCCTACTAATTTTTTTGTACATATCTCGAAAACTACTATAGCTATGTCAACTAAACTCTATAGGGTCGTTTCCTTCAGACATTTCCATATACAGTTCAAAAATGGAAGAAATCAAATAATAACCACGACCACCTCCCATACAAAGGTTATGTTGAAAATTACTAAAAGTGCGTTAACCGACTAACAAAAAACGTCAGAAACAATAAATTTTACGGAAGAAATGTCAGAAGGAAGCTGCGTCTAGGTTTTTTTTAAAAATTGAAAATGGGCGTGGCGTCGCCCACTTATGTACCAAAAACCATATCTCAGGAAGTACTCCACCGATTTCAATGAATTTCGGTACATAATATTTTCTTAATACCATGATGACATGTACCAAATATGGGTGAAATCGGTTCACAACCACGCCTGAAATATCGATTATCACTTTATCATGCGAGAGTATAAAATGTTCGGTGACACCCGAACTTAGCCCTTCCTTACTTGTTAAATATAATATTTCTTCGTGAAAATTTTATAAAACATTCTTCGAATGTCAAACTTTAATGGACCGTTAGTTTTGCATGAATTAGTTTAATTTAACAAGGTAATTTATTTCGGAATTTGTATTTAAACTTTGGGGTCCCACGGCTTGAAACACTGGAAGAGATGAAGATAGTAAGGTTGCAGAACCTATTGAATTTCAAGTCAAGCACTGTCATTCTGAAAGATGACTACTTCTTACGAACTGCGTAACGTAATTCCAAACTGGCGTATACGTGGCTCACGAGCCTACCAGACTAGCCTAACCTAGCATTTAAACTCAAATGGCCATGTGGAAAAATATTTATCGCCTTACATAAAATTTTGAGAGCAATCACTGATATTTTTCACACAGTTAAATGTTTTACCTAAAAGAACAAAATCTATTGGTTTTAACGACTCTCGCCCCATTAAGAAATTTATTACTTTGTAACCATAAGTTCAGCTTAACGAAAGGCTAGATCCTTTGCGACGATGCAGATTTCCTCTTGTGAAAAACGTTAACAATATAATTAGTGTTAAGCTATAGCCTGAGATGCCTGAATTGGCTTCTGAAGCCCAGTGAACTGAGTGCGTCTTTTTGTACAAGTGGAGAGTTAAGTTAAGTGAAGAGTTAAGAGAGTTAAGTCTAAGAAGACGTCATGGTATAAGCGCAAATTCTATAAACGTAGAACTTAACTATTTATACTTTCATATCTTTCAAACTACAGAGCAAATATTTGACACGCATTTATTACTTTTAGTTGGGGGCAAATGAAGTGTTGGTCGGGCCAGTGTGTCAGCATCACTGACAAATGTAATGGCGTACAGGACTGTGATGATGGTAGTGATGAGCTGACTTCTTTGTGCCAAACGGTATTGTGTAGGCAAAATCAGTTCCAATGCGGTTATGGCGCTTGTTTGCCCATGGAAGCCAAATGTAATGGAACAAAGGAATGCTGGGATGGTACCGACGAGCATGAGGGACTATGCATAAAGGAAAGTGCTACCGTATTAACACCCAAAACTAGAATAAAATCAAACGCAGTTACGGAGAGTATTACGTATCCAACGATTAAGAACAAACCAAACACGTCAACGGAGCTTCCAAATACGCGAGAAACTACTACAACTATTTTAGACGATTCGACACATTTTGAAGCCATTGAAAACTCCGAAAAAGATTTAACAATCATACCTAAAGTTAAAACTACGAGCACACAAACAACAACGAATCGACCTGTTGCCAATACTAAGAATAAAAAAACCTTGGAAACTCATTTCAATGGCTCACCTTCAGAACGATCTCACTTGAACACTACAAGCATGAATGAAATTATAATTACGCAGAAGACATCAACTTCTAAACCACTTATCGGACCGGCCACAAAAGCAAATGTAACAAGGAACTACTCAGAGAAAAATACGCAAATAATAACACCAATAATTCGAGAAACAACAACCACAATTTATATATCAAAGCAAACTGATAGTAGTGACACTAACGGTCAAGAAGTGAGTGGACAAATTGAGAGACTACCTAAAGGTCCAGTTTATCATATTAATAAAACATTAAATGCCACGGAAAAAAACCGTAATGCTAAATACCCTGGAGGTATAACAACAATCACGGAAGTGAAGAAAGACAAATCAAAAGCTGAAGGAAACAAAGAAGACTTCGAAAACAGCATGAACAGCACGCCTTCAGAACGAACTCAAGTCATAACAACAAATGAAAACGAAACTATGATCACACAAAAAACCTCAGTTCATTCACCAGCTGTAGCAACTTCAGCGGAAAGTTTCGGTATCGATCAAACTTTTAAGAAACTCTCCGGGACGGCTACGAGAGAAAATGTAACAAAACAATTTTCAGAAAACAATTTACACGTGACCATGCCAAAAATTGGCAACACAATAAAAACTCCACCGATTAAAAAAAATAAAACATTTCCTCTTGACATTCGAAATGGTACGCCATCAGAGCAGCCTAAAGGTAATGGAAATAAGGAACAAGAAGTCAGGCAGATCCAGAATCAACTTGCCATATCGCAAACCACCTTATATACTCTAAATGTGACAAGACAAACTCCCAATCTCAAAACAAATTTAAGTTCGAGTTCTAACAGATCTAATGATTCTAATTTAAGTGTTCAGAGCCCTATAAATTCACGACCACACACTTTCGTACTGCCTACAAGTCCTGTTTCGCCTGTTGATAAAACATTAAATGCAACAGAAAAACCCCGCAATGTAAACTATCCAGGAAGTATAACCACAACTGTCACAAACCTGTACAACATGAGTAGAACAACACCGCCTACTACCACCAATAAAGCAACCACTAAAACCAGGAATCAATGCACTATACGCAGGTGTGATTATCCACTCATTTGTAACATTTTATTACAAGGCTCCCAAGATTCTGGAAGATTATATGACAATCAGGCGCGACATTACCTCTTTGAGGGATCAGAAGTGGTTTTCAACTGTGCCGACGGTTTTGTTCTAGAAGGTGTAAACCGTACAACATGCAAAGCAAACGGCTGGACCAATAAAATTCCAAGTTGCAGTAAGTTTACAAATTTGCTTCTGCAAACTAAGTATAACATTGCTATTTGTTTTCTTACAGATCCCTCCTGTGATGCAGACTTCAAATTGCGCTGCATACCGCCACTGAAATGTGTCTATGAGGAGCCCAACATTAGTAAAAAACAAGTCATAACGAATTATTTTACAGATACTGTTGTTAGAGAACATTTTAAACTTAGTTTCGAATGCTATGAGGGTTATCTCCTAGAAGGTTCGAATGTAAGGAAATGTACAGCGAAAGGCTGGTCAAATGTGATGCCTAGATGTGGTAAGAATTCTGAGCACAAGTGATTTCCGCTTAATATTTTTGTAATATTTTATAAAAGTTTTAAATATTCTTCTCGTTTGACAAACCTTCTTTACAGTCAATCAATGCGATGTATTGGATTTGAAAATTCCGAAGTGGCCGCTAAAGTGCCAAAAGTTTGACTCAAATACAAGATATACAACTAACTGCCAATATTCACTTTGGAATAGGAAGGTGAGAGAAGGCTCTTATTTTGAATATAGCTGCGAATATGGATACAATCTGAGTGGAGTGAATCGTTCAACCTGTATGAATTATGGCTGGAATAATGACGCACCTACTTGCAGTAAGATGTCATAACTTTGGCTACATGTACGAGTGTTTTCTAATAAATTAAATCCTGTAATAACAGTTCCCTGGTGCGATTTAAAACTTATCCGTCCGTGTAAATATCCGTTAATTTGTAAAGAAACCCGGACTAGATATTTCTCCAGCAACATGGCTGCCGCAACCACCTCGGAATTAACTGTGGAATTTTCTTGTAAAGTTGGTTATGAACTAGTTGGTGAGAAGGTCATCACATGTTCGAAAGGTGGATGGAGTCATAGTATTCCTACTTGCAGTAAGTTTCACTTCACTTCTCGCCGTCAACGATCTAGTAATGTATAATTTTGCATATATTCTTAGAGAAAATTTATTGTGATGCTAATGTATTGGACGACTGCACTTTTCCGTTAATGTGTTGGCGGTATGACTCTGCGACGAAAAGGTATAGGAGAATCTACAAAGGAAGCGTGCAGCAATTATCCCACGATGAACAATTATATATTAGCTGTGAAAATGGCTATATTTTCTCAGGCACACAATATTTAAATTGTAACGGAGGCAAATGGTATGACACTATGCCTAAATGTATCGGTAGGTACTTCGTGGTATAGCTATTATTATTAAGAACTTCTAAACAATCTCATCTTCCTTAATGTAAAGCAACATGCAGAACCGATTTGTTACCTAAATGTGAAAATCCAATGATTTGCACTGCTCACAATTATTATACAGGATCTAGCCAAGCCATAACTAATAACAATAGCGGCGGTTATAGAACGTATCCCCAAGGCATTACGGTAGTTTTCAATTGCGCTTATGGCCACGTACTAAATGGCGCCAGAACAGCAACCTGTGACTTCCATGGTTGGAAATACGAAGACGGAATGTACGATCCTGAATGTCGTAAGTTGTTGTACAGTTTTAATTGTTAACGATTTGTGAGCAACTCAGACTTTCCTATTTTATTTCTTTAAGAACGAATCTCTAACACTTGTGACAAAGAAATACTGGATAACTGCACTTATCCACTAATTTGTGAGAGATTCGATATCGAGTTCGGGGATTATACAAAAATTCAAAGTGCCATCCACCAGAAATCAATTTATGATGCGGAACAAATAAGATTCAGTTGTGAAAATGGTTATGTGTTGGATGGCAGAAACGCTTTAACTTGCACGGGAGGCAAATGGGATGGCTATATACCCAAATGTATTGGTATGTATTCTATTTACTTAACCAGTTTATCTTATTTCAGATATTCGTCATAATATTTTTCCAACAGTACATTCCTGCAGAGCTGATTTACTTCCCGCGTGCAAATACCCATTAACTTGCACGCGTTACGAATCCAAGTTCAAATCCGAGCAGACAATATTTGATAGCAGTATTAATGAGTCCACAAATTATGCTTTAAATACTCAGATTGTTTTCGGTTGTGCTGAAGACTTTAAGTTGAAAGGCGAAGAGCAAACCATTTGTAGTTCGAACGGTTGGAGTCATCAGCAAAGTCTTAAACTACCGCAATGTGTGCGCAGTGAGTTGTTTTCTCAACAGTTTTATGTCGTTTACATTTTTATTACTTTTCCTTAACTCTAATTTCCCTATAGATTCTCCATGTGATCTCGATATTTTTAAAAGTTGTAAACGACCAGTCTTTTGTCATTATCAAGAACCGAATAAGAATAATTGGTCAATGGTACAGAGCAATTTCCTTATAAATTATGTTGCTGAAAATTCAGTTGTAAGCTTCAGTTGTGATTACGGTTTTAAGCCTCAAGGAGCCAATTATATATATTGTAAATCGGATGGATGGGATAATCCTATACCTAAGTGTGTGCGTGATTAATAAATTAGTGATAATGATTTATGCTGAAACTGCTTTTATTTTATTATAATATATATGGTATGTACCTATAATCCATTCAATATATAAGACACTTTTATTATATTTCTACCTTAAATGCAAAACATATCACGAAAAAGTAAGGACGCGCTAACTTCGAGTGTAGCCGAACATTTTATACTTGCGCAAGGATCAAAGCGGTGGAAATACCTGATACGTGATAGCAAAACTTGATTTTGAAAATATTGCGAAATAAATCAAGATGCATTATTTGAAGAAATTGCGAATGGATTCAAATTTTGTTTGGTAACTTACTAATTTGTACTCCAGGTCGCAGACTGACTATGTTTCATTAAGATTGCGAGACACTTATATTAAAATCAACGAAATTAACTCACATGAAAGTTGTGTGCTGTAGGCTCGGTAAAAAGGCCACTCAAGAACAACGAAAATCATTTTTTGTACAATATGGAAACTTGTACCGATATACATGCGTTATATCATATAACATATAATATTAACCGAAGTGTGAAAATCCTTTTAGTACGTAGTTATGTGGAAAATATTGAGACTCCTGAAGAGCAAATTTTAAAGAGGGCCTAAGATGACGTACATTAAAAGCACTATTTACGTAAAGTTTATGTCATTGTCCCTTGACTGGCAATACTTCCTCTTCTTTATTGGCGTAGACACCGAATACGCGGTTATAGCCGAGTGTACAACAGCGCGCCAGTCGTTTCTTCTTTTTGCTATGTGGCGGCAATTGGAAGTTCCAAACCTCTCCACCTGGTCTTTCCAACGGAGTTGAGATTTTCTTCTTCCTCTGCTTCCCCCGGCGGGTACTGCGTCGGAAACTTTCCAAGCTGGAGTGTTTTCGTCCATTCGGACGACATGACATTAGCCAGCATGACATTAGCCAGCGTAGCCACTGTCTCTTAATTCGCAGAATTTTGTCAATTTCTCGTACAGTTCAGCGTTCCATCGTATACGATATTCACCGTGGCCAATGTGGACTCATTAAATGTTGTCATTGTCCATGCCTCTGCCCCATATAGCAGGACGGGAATAATGAGTGACCTATAGAGAGTCGAGAGAGGATTTTACTTCTCAATTACCTACCTATTCCGAAATAACACCTTTTGGCAAAAGTTATCCTGTGTTGGATTTCGATGCTGACATTGTTGTTGCTGTTAATACCTCTTCCAAGATAGACGAAATTATCTACGACTTATGACTGCCAACAATTTCACGTTTGATATTCGTACGAAGTTCATCGATCGTCGCTGGCTTGTTAGCATAGTCTAGTGGCGTCAAATCACACGATCGAGGCGGCAAATTGACTAAGCCATTTCGTGAGATAAAACGTTACCAAACTTGGTTTTCAACAAATCGATTTTGACATTAGCTGTGCGGCTGATTTTTCGATGAAAATCCGGATACTTTTCAAGTTGTTGCTTAGACCAACTCACGAACATACGACGTTTCTGGTCGTCAAGCGGCTTCAGTTCTTGCGGCAGTGTAAAGATGCCCACCGCTTGAGAACGACTTGTGAGGGACTGATTTGAGTCTTCCTTAATTGATGCACTAGCGGGAGCAATATTCTCTACAGTACGGGCACTTCTTTGTCTCACTGGCACGGAATATTCTGTGACTACAGATTCAAATTTTTACACTGAACCCTCTAAAAGTTGAGGCCACTGACTCTGAATTTCGGTAGTAAATTTTAATAATTTCGAGCCGTTGTTGGATCGAATATATTCCTATTATGAAATGGCGCACCTTACTGAAGAGAAATGTCATAAAAGCGGAAAAAACATGTCGCCGGTTTCGGTCCCTTTCGGTTCAACTTTCCCACCGTTTAAAATCATTGATTTCGCTCTCTCTGCTTAAAATATATATGCGTTAGAGAGTCAGATACCTTAATTAAAGAAACTCAATTGTGTGAATAATATTACGTAAAACGAATAACTTAGAAATAAAAATATAAACAATAGCTCCACAACACTTAAATGAAACATCAGTGAAGATATAACTTAGTAAGAAGTAGCGATTTGAAGGTGTTGCAACTATTATCTAGAAGTCGGCGAAATCGTACACCACCATTTCAGACCCCAAAGTATCGACTATATGACTGAGTTTCGGGTTTAATTTTGTTATTTCTTTTAAAAAAATTCCATAGATGTTCAGTACTTAAGATCAAGGAAATTGCACAAAACCGATTTTTGATATTTTTGACTTACCTGCGGACACATTTTGCACTGATACTTTCTGCCTGTACCGCTGCCACCGGCTCCCAGTGTCACATTCATTTTGCTTGCATTGATCGGCTGCGGTACCACCAGCAAGGCAGCCGTTGACGCACTGTGATGATGCGACATGTGATTAGACGTTGTCGGCGCATGATGCGCAATGCCACCAATGTTCGCGCCGCCAAGACCTACAAGCCCGCCGCCACCGACACTACTACTGCCACCAAGGCTACCGTTGCTGGCTCCGATAAGACCTAGACTACCCGGAGCAGTGACTAAACTACCGCCGCCACCATTACCGCCTCCGCCTCCAGCAGGTGAACTACTATTCGAAGTGGCAATGGTTCGCAATGTGGCGCTGGGCCCATAAATAGAAGCAGCTGATGCCATGCCACTGTGATTACCCTGCGGCGTAACAGCATGATGATCTAAGAGGCGGCTATCATCTAGAAAGTGACCTATAAAACAAAGTGTAAGCAAGGAACAAAGAATTCATCAGTTAATTGGTGCACAGAATCACAAATCAAGTATTTACTTAAATTACTAAAGCACAAGTCAATCAACTGGATGGGGTTAGGTTAGGTTCAGTGGGCGTTCCTGGCATGAATCCCATTTAAACAGCTTAGAAAATATAATACGACACTTACAAATCATCAAAATATTTTGAGTCTATCACAATTCACTGAGACGGTTAGTGTTAATTTTGGCTTTATCTTCTGGTTCACTAAAGAAGGTTCTAGGCGGTTCTGTAGATTTATAAAATAAACTGGGAAGCTCATTTTTCTGCTGGTACACATATGTATTTAAAATAAGTTTGACTATTTTCTTACGCTAATTCTGTCATGTTTTTAAGGATTGAGGCAAGTTCAACATCTACTAATTTGAAGGGAGAAAGGATTCATGTAAGACTCTCCTTTTTTTTTGTTGTGTTTGTTTTTGTTTTTTTTTTTTGTTATGGAAAACTGTAGCAAGTCTAATCTGCCGTATTTTGCAGAAATATCAAATTACAATGAAATTGGTCGGCAGCATCATGTTTACTCTGCGATTTAATCGCCAAAATCGCGATCGCCGACAGCGATCTTTATCGGTCGCGCCGCCGCCAAGCGCCACTGATTTCACCTACGCTGCTGACATGACCGCGACATAATCACCATGCATCCCAAATACAGCTGCCTGGTAGGAAATATACATAGTTAATGATTTCGCCTTCAATTTGCTTGATCGCAATCATGATTTACATATACAAATAACGCAAGGCGTTAAAAATGTAATAGACTCTACTCGTTTACGCCTATATAAGTCTTACGACAACCGCGTCAAAACTACTCTCATCGCGGTAAAATAGGCAATGCTCGGGCTTAGCTGCCAACCAGAATTACTCACTTCAGAAATACCAAACTTACAGGAAGAATCGACTTGCAATAATGGGTTTTTTTAGTAGAGCCTCTCCAAAAGTATATCGATAGGGACAGCAAACGAGGCAATATTTTTATCATATGTGTGGGAATGGGATGTTGGGGTAGGTGGCAACTCCACGCAGGCGAACAGAGGAACGACAGAACATGAAACGAACAGACAGAGGACGAAGTAGGGAAAACGGATAAGGTATGGAGAGTCAATTAATATACACCGAGGCGCGCGCAACGATATAAGTCGTCAAACTATTGCGCCGCATAGTTTTAAGTGGCTAATTAGTGTCTAAGCATCTATGTACTTTAAACTGTTTTAATAAACGTGGTTGTAAATGACTAGACAAAGTGTATTTTACTACATGTATATTAGTGAACAACAACTTGAAATTAATTCGGATTTTCAACGAAAAATCATCTTCAGCCATGAAGCTTATTACTAGTTGAATGGCTTCATCAGTAAGCAAAATATGCGTTATTGGTCAGGCTGCATTCTACACGTACTCCATGAGTCACCATTGCATCTTGAAAAAATTACGGTTTGGTGCGGTTTACATGCCGGCGGCATCATAGGGCCGCCCTTCTTTTGTGATGATCAAGACTTTACTGTGAGTGGGAATCGCTACCGCGCAATGACAACCGAATATTTTTTGGCACGAATTAGATGATGTGGACTTGGACAATATGTGATTCCAACAGGACGGCGCAATAAGCTCGACCGATTTATGCTTGAAAACCGTCGAAAATTGGGTTCAGCGTCTGGACTTCTGCAAGCGTGGTAACGGTTTTCCTCACAGGGTTGCTACAGCTGGCGGAGATAACGTCGCTGGCAGTTAATTCGGCAGTCACACCATACTACCTATGTAGAGACTGCTGGCTTTGTAGACTTGTCATTTACTCGTTTGCTACTGTTGCTTGCTCGCTGCTGTTAGGGGCGCTTAGTGCATGTTGCATGTTGTTTGCATTTAAGGAATTTATGTAAACATCTTGTAAAGCGTCTTGTTGCACCTCATGTTTTTTGTCTATATACGACTACAGCAGCAACAAGAAAACAAAATCACAGCAACATCACCAATAAAAGCAACAACACACCTTGCTGTTTTTACCACGGTGCCCCTCAGCAATACACATGCGCTTGCATATATGTATGTATGTATATGTATATGCTTCAGTGTGCGTGTGTGTGTGTGTGTGGCATATTTTAGACGCCACCTCAGCGCTTGGAGTTTGTTGTAGAAGCTCGCAACACAATTCGGGTTAATGTTTTAGAGGTCAGTAAAGCTGCAACATTTTGAAGCTAAGGCATTATGTCGATGCTGCTGTCACTTAATTACAATATTGTTATTATGGTGGTTGTTGTTATTATTGGCCATGCTGTTGTCGCTGTGTTGTTAATTGCTTACAATATTTTACCGGCTAATGTGCTTGGTTGACTTTGGAGTGCAGCAACTTTTTTAGATGGTTGATTTAACCAGGTTTGTTGTTGCTGCAGCGTGGGAGTGTGCATGGTGCCGTCACATTGATGCTTATCGTAGATTTAACAATATTGCCATCAGATTGCATCGCTAAGCGTTCGCCACCAGCCACGCCAATGCCTAGCGCGGTGCGTACTTGCAACATTTTGCGGTGACATGCATTCAACTAGCGAACGATGCGCCTTGCCGCAAAGGCTACTAGGCGCATTTGCAAGTGTGTTGGGTAAAACAGTTTAGCAGATAGTAATCTGCTAACCTTATCTATTTAAATATAAACAAGTAGTGGATAAAAAAGCTAAATTACCGCTATTCAGAGTATGTAGATGTTTAGGTAATTTTGAAAAACAATCATGACTTTGGAGAACTCCTAATGTGATTTATGTAAAGTTGACATTATTAAACGAATGAGCATGGGAGAAGTTCCTACAAGAAATCCGCAGCAATAAGCTTCACCTTAAGCCCCTTATAACATTCGCTAAAGAGCTCAGAAGTGGCGGAGTGGCGTCTAAATGCAGTCAAAGACATTACATTTTGAGCAGCCTTTAGGCTTTATATTCTCAAAAGTATTGGCCGAGTAACTTTCATCAAAGATAACGGATGATTCAAGTAAAAGTACTTTTTTCAATCACCGTTTTGTTAGTTCAAGCGTGAGTTGCGTCAAGCTGTCACGTTATTTTTGTTCATTTTTATTTGGCATTTCATCATGGAAGGACTTACGCCTGAATATTGAGACCCAGCTTTCATTGGATAATATTCGGCCGAATTGACCACGTCCAACAAGCAGTGAACAAAATATAGCAGCTGAGTGTGTACACGAAAACCGTGGAGAGTCGATTCGACGCCTTTTCTAGTCACTCGGACTAACCTATGGAACGACTTTGCGCGCTCTTCGACGATATCTTAAACTGAAAGCGTACAAAATACTGCTTGTGCAAGAACTGAAGCCGCTCGACCTTCCTTAGTGACATCGCTTCACTCTTTGAGCTCTCGAAAAGTTCCAAGAATATCCGACCTATGATTTTACAGGTCCATTTTTTTTCAAAAATTCTGCCGGTAAGAACGTAACGGTCAATGGCGACCGTTATCGCGCCATGATAACCGACTCCCGGATGCCTACAATTGAGCCTCGTAATCTCGGCGAGATTTGATTTCAACAAAACGGTGCTCTTCTTCCACGAATCGCATCCAACAATGCATTTATTGAGGGAGCATTTCTGCTGAGAAGATAACTTCACGTTTTGGGCCGGTTCATTGGCAACACCGTTAGACTTTTTCCTGTGGGTATATGCAAAGCCAAACAGCACGCGTGTCATTCACTATTTAGCAGTCAAAATACTTGAACGAGTCATCGAAAATTGAACTAATGGATAGACCATCTGAGACGTAACCACGGACAACATATGAAAGAGATAACTCTCAAATAATAAATGTCAATATGTCTCTCATATAACATAGTAAAGAAACTCGAAATGGATCATCCTTTAAAAGAAGCTGGATTTTAATACGAGCCTGCAAAATGTAAAGTTATAGAAGGAGCATTTCGGTTAGTAAGGTAAGTTATTTAATTCAGATATAGGGTGTTCTTTTAGAAAAGTGGTCAGGAAATAAGTGAAATATAATTTAATGTTACGTTCAAGAGTTTAGCTTTATTTTAAAGATATGTTTTAGAAAAGATTTAAAGCAGGTTATCGGCGCTGATAACTAAATACCGCTTGGTGTGTGTTCTTCGGCTTGCTAGCTTTGTTATAGGTCGTAAGTTTGAGCACCAAGATAACGCATTGAGCAGCATTAGAAAGACGTAAGTTGATAGAAATTGACAAAACTCAACAGATACCAAAGGAACGATTTGCGTGGTCGATTTCGAAATACGTAAGCTTTATGCAAAGTAGGTGTGGCGTGAGTTCACAATTGACGATCCAACAGCCACAATATCCACGAGCCAAATTTCATGAATCTGCCTGCAGCTTTTCTTGACCAAGAAGAGGTAATCGTTGAGACTGCAAATTGAGCTAAATTTCAAATGACAAGGAACCTTTCGGCCTGCTTAATATCTAAAAAAAAAGTTAGAATATTGTCTTCTGTTTGGAAATTGTAGGTCGAAACTCGAATACCAACTCGCGTATTGAACCCAATATATACGACACCCAGGAAAATTGCACTCCTTTTGTTCGTGTTGTTTATATACACACATAAAGTATTTGTACATACCTACTATTTAAAATATATACATCAAATACATCAAATTTTAGTTAGTTTAAGTTTCATACCTTTTTGTAAGTTATTGTGATGGTCGTTCATTTTAGCCTGGAATGAAATACAAATATAAATTAAATATTAAATTATCGCGAAGAATATTATCACTAAATTCCTAATAATATTAAAAAATTTTCAAAATGATTGCTCTGAGTACTACCGCTCCTTGTTCTTAATGGTCTCGCAACATTTGAAAATAATCGAAATATATAATATAAAGAGTTAATAGAGTATATAAATGACCAGAATGACGACGGGTGAATTTGCAATAAGATGGCAACTAACATAAATTAATAGAAATATTTTCGAAGCTTCGTTATTCTAGTAGACCTTATATCCAATATGTCGGTCGGTCTGTGACTTACATTCATCCATTCGTTCGAAAATATGGAATCAGCTGAAAACTTCACCTAGCTCTAATATACACGATAAGTGACTTGGTACTTACTAGTGGACTTTACACCTAAAATGTCGGTTAATATGTAAGGCATTTTAATGAAATTGTGTGGAGAAGTTTTCTTAAATATAAACTAAAATGTTAAAGTATGAATGAAATTGGTCTAGACTTTGATCATATCTCATATCCCTAATATACATATGTCCAAACCTTTGGTCGATCTTTTCCTCATATATGTATATCCAATATATTATCATAAGCCCCTTTGGTTGTATTGGTATCACATTCATGTTGAAAACCACTAAAAGTGCGATAACTTACCGAATAAATGCGCCACAAACTTAAATTCTGATATCCACGATAACAGAAATATAACTTTTCAAGAATATGTGAATGTGGATCCCGCAGAACATTTAGGTCAAAATTAACAATTTACTAAATTTAATTGTCTTCTATTAAGTTGCTTCTTATAATGTACGTTTTTTAGATTTTTTAATATACTCCGAGGGCAACAACAATATGAAAGAAAACACCATGCACCGCAGCAGATTTCTAATTAGAATATAATTATTATGCGAGTATAATTACCCGGGTTGGTCGGTACTTAATTTTCATGGCAAATAGCATTATAACTGCCGATGCGACAAGCAAACAAGTCAACGATCATCGGAATAGAGGAAAAAAAGACGCTCAAAAATCAAGGTGGTATAATTTTTCGTTTCGATATTCGTAGTTTGGTAAATCATGAATTTGTTTCGGTGGGACACACGGCGAATAGGTACTTCTATATGGCCATATTGAGACGTTTGCGTGTAAACATCCGTCGAAAACGTCAAGAATCAATTAATTTCAATGTATAATTAAATATTTTGCATTTTATTTGACACAATAATATAATAAATTTCGGTTTTCCTCAGACTTGCATATATATATTATACTTCAATCAATAATTCCTGACCTGAACCAGCATCGTAGTTGCAATAGGTTGCAATACGTCGAACGTTTTACAGAAATGGATTTATCAGCCGCATTTTACTAGTTCCTTATATGACACAGGAATATGGCTGATATACTTCTCAAATGCGAATTTTCGAACCACCCTCATCTGCCTACATGGTGTTTGAAGAACGAGCCACTTCTCAAGTTGTTAAGCACTTCATTGTGCTAAAGCTTTAATCAGTAGTCAATTATAGAGGAACGCGAGCAGTTACTACGGAATAAATAAACTTCTTGTGAGAAATATGCGTTTCGTGATTTTTGTGCTTATCTGCTATGTTGCCTTAGCAATAAAGGGTATGTGAAAAAACGACTGTTCTCCACTTTTTGGGACAGCAATATTATATATTTAATCGGTATGGTACCTGTGAAAAGAAATTGGGATTTTAACACAATTGTAAATTGTTCTTTTGCAAAGCTGAATACTACTTGAATACATAACGAAAAATATTGATATCTGGGTACAGCTCAGAACACATTGAACGAAAATCTGTTGCAGTGTCAATGAAATAAAAACTACTTTTCTAGCTCTTTATGCGAATAGTTGCATTTTCTGTTTCCTTATACACTTATAGCGGGATTCTGTAAGCAGTCTCTAATCTCTATTTGAGACATTTTGTGGTAAAATCTCAATTTGTGACTAGTTACTATTCACTAAAAAGTCTCTAGCTTTAGCCTCAAAATACTGCCTCAAGTTTGAGACCTGGTAGTTAGCAAGTCACAAAACCAAAAAGAACTCTTGTCTGCCATTTCGAATATACTGAGCAGAGATCATCATTAATAATAATCGATTGTCATTTTTTTATATTTTGTAAGCAACTCAAACACAAAAAGGTTAAAAATAAATCAATTTTACAAAAATTTCGAAAATATTATGAAACCAAATCAACATATAATTTTATTTTGATTGATAATTATCTTTTTTCACTATGTTATAGAAAATTTAATTTTTGTTATCGACATATTTATTTTCATCCAAGTTAAAAAGAATCTCTGAATTATTAAATGTAATAGATTTTGTGTCACTTACAGAATAGCAAAATCGTCTCAAGTCTCAAAAATTGTCTCTATCAAATTTAGAGACTTGATACTGTATCACCGTACAGAATCGCACATTTAGAATTAAATTACCATTGTAAGGTTTCGAAAAAGGCCCAAAAATAATAATACCGCTCGACGTTCGGTGCGCTCGGAGTGCACACCTCAAACTTTACACGCATTTTCCTCAAACGCACACTTTTTTGAACTGGCGGACATGATTCCGGTCGACCTACTCAACCGATTTGCTTAGTACCGCTATAATTTTATAGTTTATTGACAATGCTATGACAAAATTTATGTAAAAAAACATGGGGAAATATTAAAAAAACGCTTTAATTACTCTTTTGTTTATCAAAATTTTTTAATGATTCTAGTAAGGACGATAACCAATCACGTACTTTTTAAGAATAAATTGGGTTTTTGTGTTTCAGATGATCCACACATGAGAAATCGTGACCGCCGGTGTAAAAACGCATCTCATTCACCCATCCAATTCTCCGAAATTTCTATGAAAAAAATGTCAAAAAAAACATGCCAGATTACCCTACTGGTCCCTTAAAATAATCGTTTTCAAGGCATTGATATTTATGCTAAAGAAACATTTATGTATACATGAGAATTTCTCGGAATCTTTCACGTTTGCGATAGCACACTCAAGATTGTATGAGTCAGCTTATATGTGTGGATACTGCGGATTAAACCGAACGACAATTTTTGCTGGTCATATGCAAATAAAATTGTATATTTCAAATACTCTTAACATGCAATGATGCCTACAATTATTTTGTTGACGTAACGTTATTTTATAAATTGAACACGAGTTTCAAACCGATTTTCAGTTTCTTTTTTTCTATATTTTATTCAGCTGATGACGATGAAGATTGCGAGGGAACACGATGTAAAAATGGTGAATGCATTGATGATCTGGACTGGTGTAATGGATCTGTGGATTGCTTAGATGGATCTGATGAAATGGATTGCAAAGCCATATTATGCTCAGATGCATATAAGAAATGTCACTATGGTGGTTGTATACCCTTTGAAAAATTTTGCGATAAAGAATTCGATTGCTGGGATGGCAGTGATGAATCGTTTTCAACTTGTGGTGTTACGTTTTGTAAACCCAATAAATTTCAATGTGGAAGTGGCGGATGCATAGATTTAAGCAAAAAATGTGACGGCAAATTCGATTGTCCTGATCAAACCGACGAATATCCGCCCTTGTGTGGCTGAATGCCGTCATTTAAGTCTTTCCTAAACTATATTTTCAACACATTTTAAAAATGTGTCGCAAATGTGAATATCAAAGAAAACAAACAAACATTTTCTCTTAATGCGAATAGTGTAACTCTTCATATATGTATTATTTAAATATAAACCTGTGAAAAATATAAATCTTGAATTTTTCTTCGTTCAATACTGAATCCTATTCCTAAATTTTACAGTAACTAAAGCTGATCGAGATATATATAGTGCTATAAAAGGTGATCCCTTTCCAGGCTTCTACTTCTTTAAAGAAAACCATCGAAACTTCACATTTAATGGGGAATGGTCTATCCGTTGAGTCCAATTTTCAATGACTCGTTCGAGCATTTCGACTGGTAACTGGCGAATGGCACGCGTGCTGTTTTGCTCGGAGGCACGAATCGAAGTGAGATTATCCCCATAGACTTTAGACTTTACATATTCCCACAGAAACAAGTCAAAGGGTGTGGTATCACACGATCTTGGTGGCCAATCGACCGGCTCAACACGTTAAATTATCTGCTCACCAAAATATTCTCTCAACAAATCCATTGATTGATGCGATATGTGGGAAGTGGCGCCGTTTTGACGAAAACAAATATAGGCGAGATCACGAGCTTCAATTTCAGACATCAAATAGTCGTTTATCATGGCGCGATAACGGTCGCCGGTGAGACGGCTGCATTTTTGAAAAAATATGGTCCGCTGATTCTACCGTCCTACAAACCACACCAAACCTTTATTTTTTTTTTCCTAGATAGCGTGGTAGCTCTTGAATTTCTTCATTTCACCTTTCGTCCCAGGTGCGGCTATTTTGCTATAAAATGCTCAAAACCGTCGCATCTTCTTGGAACTTTTCAACAGTCTAAAGAGCGAAGCGATTTTCTTGGGGAGGTCAAGCGGCTTCAGTTTCAATTTTAGATATCGTCGTAAAATGTCATTCCACACCTCAGTCCGAGTTGCTGCAAACGGCGCCGAATCGACGCTTCACGGTCTTCGTGTACACTCTCAGCCACGTCTGCTATATTTTTTTTTTTTTTCAAAGCGCGCTGGAAGTAGTCTATTCGGTCGAATATTATTCAATAATGAATGCCGGGTCTCAAGATGGGTGATGGTGTTGCGAGTAAGGCGATTATGTTGACCATAAGTGGAGCGAAACGCGCGAACCAGATTCCTTACAAAACGTGAATTTTTATAATAAAACTGAACGATTTATAAATGTTGTTTAGGCGTACGTCTTTCCATGATGAAATGCCAAACAACACTGAACGAAAATGACGTCACAACTGAACACAACTCACGCGTGAGCTCTAAAAAAAAGTACCTCTACTTGAATCACCCATTATATTTAAGTTAACATCATGATGAGAAGATTTTAAATCCGGACGTCTGTTTGTCCATTTACAATAGAGATGTTAGTACTGCAGATGGGCGGTATTTGACTGAATATTCGTTATAAAAACTCCTACAAAGTGTATGTGGGTCCGCCCCTTTATTGCTTTAATTGCAACTCGAAATATTGCTTACGTTATATCACCTATCTCATACAAAAAATTTTCGAAATCAGACCATAACTTTTCAAGCTCGGAATCCTGAATATGTGAACGTCAGAATGGTTTTTCACCGAATATATTGCTTATGATACTACAAAAAGGATGCTTCCTTTTCGATAATAATGCGCTGCAAAAATATGTAAAAAACTTTACTTGTTCAATACTAGAGCACTTCACTTTCCAATAAAATCTGAGTAATCTTTCTTTGAACTCTAAAAACGAATAAATATGAATACTTTTTGCTCACTGCTATCACTCAGAGCTTTGTAAATATTTTTGCTTTTAGCTTTACAAAAACGCATACTAATTAAATATTAAGGACTGTGAGCAAACTTAGATTTCACGACACAATGGTGAGCTCAGCAATAAAATCAACTAAATTCGATATCGAAAAGTTTTGTTTACTATAACTTTAATAAATATGTACATATGTACCTCATATCCTTGCTTGATGGCTGACATGTGGCTGCGAGTTGCCGCCGCTGATGGCCATCCGTTATAATCGGCAATTTCCTTACCATGTTGTCCACACTTTGTTAGCATAAATTATAATGCGAAGATGTAAAGAGTCAGAGAAAGAGAAAAAGAAAACAAGCGAGAAACAATACATAATTAGTTATGAATAAGTGCACAATAGAGTAATTGAAAGGAAAATATATTAGACTCGGTTATACATATATACTCGTATACTAGGAATCACAAGTAAATGCAAAAATTAAATTAACGAAAATCTTCAGCAGAAAAGGGAAAATAAAGTACCGAAAACTGGATTTGAGTATGTGATATGTCGAGGTATATTTTCCAATCATTTCAAAGCATTAATGTTATTTTTGTGCGGTCTTGCTTGGCATTGCACCATAGAAACACTTACGCCTGAACATCGATTAAAAATCGATAAATTTTATTACCCATCATCCTACTTGAGACCCATTATTCAATACTGGATAATATTCGACCGAAATTACTACGTTCAGCACGTAGTGAAGAAAATATAGCAGTCGTCGCTGAGAGTGTACACGAAGACCGTGAAGATACGTGGCATTCTTCTTCTTCTAAATTGTGTCGAAATCGGTTTGTCGGGTCTGGAGATATGAGATTTCAACAAAAGGTGAGCGGTGCCAACCACATCATCCAATTTTCACAGCAGCTCCCATAAACCTTAATGAATTTAATGTCTCTCGGGAATTTAGTAAACAGAAATTCTCATAAGATTTGCACTTAGCAAACTTTTTTGTTGTCGCTTAAATGGTTTAAGAGATATGTAAATTAAACTTGTTAAAGGGCGGGGCCATCTTTTCAAAAAAATTTCCCCGCAGATGCCGCGTGCTACTGGGATCCTCAATAACAACTTACAGCTTTATATCATAATTTAGTGCTTAGTTATGGTACTTTATATGTTTTCGGTTAATGGCGATGTGTTGGCGTGGCCCATCAACAAACTTGTAATTTTTTTTTTTACTAAGGAACCCACATACTTTATTCACTTCATCAGGATATCTTCATTTTTACCCAAGTTACAGCTTGCATGCACAGACGGACGGACAGGCAAACAGTCCACGGGATTTCAACTTTTATCGTCATTCTAATCATTCATATACTAGTGGATCCGGCCACGAGTTGCTGTGGTATTAATTTTACACTATTATTCATTTAATAAACTATTCAATACAGTGAAAATTTTTTTTACGAATAAAGGCGAAAATGCCTTTGTCGGTATAAGAATCCAAGGGATTGTACTTGGGGTTTAATTTTGATATGCCTATATACTAGTACCAATAAAGTTCTTTTGAAAAAATAACGAATTTAGGGCTTCCCATTTTGTGGATTGGACAGAGCACACTTAAATTTCTATCGTCGGGCATGCTTTTGTCCGACCATATTCTACAAAGAAGTTGATGCATGCTCCTTATCCTCGCCGGCGTATTTGAAAAGACGTCGGCCCCGCCGCTTTGTTGTTCTTCAAACGGCTAATTGCTATTCGAACTTCTTCATGGTCGGGTAATGGAATGTCCGCTCCATTGTCGTAGGCTACAATACTTGTTAATACTTACGAGCATAAACAAAGCAGGTTGAAATTTATACGTGCCTACCATTGTATGAAATATCATCACACTTTACTGCTGGAGAGTTCAAAGAATGCATCACTTTAATGAAATTTTTTCAAATGCTAAACATTTCGTCGGAGTCATCGAAACAAGCACCCATCTCAAAGCTGTAAAGACTTCTACAGGGTTTTTTCATACATTTCACTCATTCAAACTCACCCTAAATTTAGAAGAAAAAGATATAACTGTACTCATTGAATGCCTAGTTAAACGTTTTGGAAAAATCATGCCAGAAAACAAAGTACTTCGAAAATCGAAGCTCAAAGCAGAAATACAGCTTTGGCAACAACACTGAAAGATGCAAATGACTACGAAAACACAAGTGTCCCCCTCCCCCCTAAAAGTCGATGGGCAAACCTTGGAAAAATATAAGTCAAAAGATTTACTTCAATTCCAGGGCGTGCCATTCTAAAATCTATTAACATGACCTTTGACCGCCTAAATGTACATATGCTGATTATTGAGTTAGTGTGGTTTGAAAACGATACGCAATAAAGTATTAGCCACCTAATTGCTCAATTCTCCAAAACAATTTATTGAACAACTTTTTCTAATGCTGTCTCGTTTGTTTTTTCTTGAATGCGAACTATCCTATTTGAAAGGCGAACTTTTTGTTGACCGCAAACGCGGCCACAGCCATTGAACACCGCGGGACGCAATCGCCACTTCTTTTGTGTTGCATTGCCTTTTCAAAATTCTAGAACACCAGTTGCTATTAAATGTCTATTACTAAAAACCAGTTGTAGGCAAACACAAAAAGCGCACGGAAAATATTTAGAAAAAACGCTGAAAGTGAAAATCCAACATTCAAATCGCCAAAAAGTATGCAAACAAATGTCGATAACCTAGAAAATAGAGCTAAGCGACGCAAAAACTTCTAATTGTAAAAAAATCTAATGAAATAATATTAAAAAAGATTGCACGGGTATCCCAGCGCCGGCTGCCAAAGCAAAGAAAAACATATAAAACTAGAAAACAACAAAACTAGAAAACAACAAAAAGTGTAAAAAATGCAAAAGCAAGAACAAAATCCATTGCAGCGCTAGCACATTTTGACGGCCAATCTAAGCGCAAATGTCAAATAGAAAATAGAAAATAAAAAGTGGCGACATGCTCGGCTTGTAGCACGACTAAATGACTGACTGAGCGCGCCAGCGGTTAGCTAGGCGGAAATGAATAACAGTATTTTTTCTAAATCGCGCCAAATTGATTCGTGAGTATTACGTGTGAGCGTGTGTGTATGCCTACGGCTTTTATATGACCGACTGGACAGCACTTGCGGCTAGGCAAACATTTTTTAGGATTTGCATATTTTGTGTCTTTTATTGGCCAATTTTTTACTATTTGCGATATTTGTCCGATATTTTTTTTTTTTTTTTTTTTTTTGCCTGTCACTTCGCGCTCAAGCGCTTCAAATGGCCTAGAAAATATAGAAAACGGTGGTCTTTATTACCTCTTTGCAGCTGGTAACCGTTGCCTAATTGCCGTTTGCTTCTAAAAAAAGTTAGTTGAAGGTTACCACTGTGCTTTTATTTTTCGTGACGATGCAGTGTTATGTCGTTTTTGAAATCACCTGCATATTTTTACAAACAAATTTTATTTTTATCACTGTCCGTTGAACTCGCGTGGCGAGACTTACTGTTGATCCGCTTAAGCTACAGGTTGATTCGATTTGTAACCTTCATGCACATAGGAAAATATTATTAAAGAAGTTATTGTTTGAGGCATGGGACATATTTTTGCTCAATAGAGCCTCTAATCCAAATCTGTCAACGCAGGGGCGGAAATTCGTTAAGGCCTTCGAGACTCTGTCGTGGACGCTAAAAGGGGCACAATGCAGACCCTAACAAAGGAATTCGTCGGGAACCCAGTTAGGTATAGTCAAAGAAGATCACACAAGAGTCCTCGAGTGACGTTGAAAGCATTGAGCAAGGTGAATGTTATTCGGGAGCTGAGCTTGTGCCTAGACTTCTCAAACAATATACTGAGCTAATGAGCGACTCCCAAGAAAATGCATGGTAGATAAAACAACTATTAAAGCATCTTCTTGAAATCTTCATCATAGCAAGTTAGCTTCAGTAGCTCCAGTAACAGTATGTCACCGAGCTACGGGTTATACATTTCTGATTGCGAAGGTTAGTTAGGTAGGTTAGTGGGTTTAGGGGTTGTATAAGGGCTTAAAAATATGTTTGATTGAAACCGGATTTTATTTGAACGTTGAATAAATTTCTGGGTCCAAATATAGATCAAATACCCCCGCTGTCAATTTCGCAACAGCAGATCCCAAATTCACACTGTAAGAGGATAAGGAGTGTATGGACCATCCCGTATAATTTCCAGTAGTTGTCTTGAGCAGTGAAAAGGTGCACAAGAAGCCCAATAGAATATTTACACATACACATACATACATATTTACATGTTTAGTGGCAACTGATGGTTTTCTTTGAAAAATATGTAAGCTCACTGTATAAAATATGAAGCTAGTAATTTTCCGCCTTGTGATTAGATTCCTGACACCGTATCAAGCTTTCTTGTGACTAATGATTTTCTTGAAGACTGGGTCGCTACTAAAGAAATCACATTTAAAAACAGCTCGATTAGCTGTAAATGCGACCAGGACCGCTACATATTTGGTTTAATATATTTTAAGTCTGAGATTATTGTTAACAGATAATCCCACTTAAGCCCAATTTTAAGAAACACTCTTACGAAGATAATTTATAAAGTACTAGTAGGCGTGTTTTACATCAACGTAAAACGTTGAGAAATACCAGAAGATACGTCAGGACGGAGAAGGAAGTATCCATTCCGTTCGATACCAAACGTGCTTTCAGACAAGTCGACTTCATATCTGTGACTTCTTCAATCTACTGCTGGAGAAAATATTTCGAGCCGCAGGGTTTAATTGAGTAGTTACAATCCTCTACAAGAGTATAGAGCTGCTCGTGTACGCCGATGATATTGTTATCATTGGCCTCAACAACCGCGCCGTTAGTTCGGCTTTCTCCATACTGGATAAGGAAGCGAAGCAAATGGGTCTGGTAGTGAACGAAGGCAAGACAAAATGTTACCTGTTATCAAACAAACTGTCATCGCACTCGCGACATGGCTCCCACGTCACTGTTGTCAATCATAACTTTGAAGTCGTAGATAATTTCGTCTGACTTAGAACCAGTATAAACACCACCAACAACCTCAGCCTCGAAATCCAACACAGAATAACTCTTGCCATCAAGTGCTACTGAAGAATATCGCGAATATCGCGCTGTTGTAAAATCAATGATAATCGCATTAGCGGTGTCTACGAAGAAGAAGAAAACATTGGCACAAATGTTAGGATTATCCAGCAATTGGAGTTTCGGACATTCTTCAAGGTAATCTCCTGTTAGCTCTCATCTTTTATTTTTCTTCTAAATTCGAAAAAAC